AGCAGTTTACAGAGTCAGCCTCTTGCCCCCAACAATCTGGGTCCTCATTTTACCGACCTTAGAAGGATGGAAGGATGAGTCAACCTTGAGCCAATGAGAAATGAGCCGCTGGCAGTCGGCAGAATTAGCCTGCAATACTGCATTCCAACCACTGGGCCACCAGGATGTTGTGCTTATTGTGCTTCAATCCATTATTTGGTGGAAATATTTAAAACAAGTTACAGGTAGACTTGGGTTATGATGGCTATTCGGAACGGAACTGCCATCACTAAATGACACAGTTGTAAAATACGACATCACGGGACTGTGTTGCTTAGCGACCACAATCCCAGTTGACATCATTAAGCAAGGGTTGTGTGGGTTGTTAAGCAAGGACATCACATGACCCTGACTTTCTAATTCCTGCCAGCTTCCACATTGACTTTACCTGCAGAAAGTTGGCAGGGATCAGTGGAAATTGTGACCGTGTGACCACAGCTTGTGGCAACGACATAACCATGATCCGGCCTCCCGAATTCGCGATCCTGTCACTGAAGGGAAGCCGCCATGGTCAGAACTTGGAGGACCTGTCTTAACGCCCCCGTGATTGCTGTTGGAAGTTTGGAGGGTCGCTGAACGAACGGTCGTAACCTGGGGACGACGTCTATGCATTGTACATTTTCTTCTGCATCTCCCATTAAAAAGAATGTAAACAGAAACCTGCTGTGAAATCTCTAATCTCTGTTGTTGCCTTTGCTGGTAATCAGATCATGTCGAAATGTTTGGAATGGCACTGAGAAGAAACGGAGAACTGGCTTCTGTTTACAAAACAATATTGAAATGTAGCATATGTTCTCTAAGCTAATTCTCTCTCTCTCTCTCTCCCCTCCCTCTCTCTCGCCCTCTTCCCTTCCCTCTCCCTCTCCTTCTTTTTCTCCTTCCTTCCCTCCTTCTGTCCCCCTTCTCCTCCCCCTTCCCTCTCTCCCCTCCCTCTCCTTCCTTCCCTCTCTCCCCTCCCTCTCCTTCCTTCCCTCTCTCCCCTCTCTCTCCTTGTCTCCCCCTCTCTCTCTTTCTCTCCCTCCCTCCTTCTGCCCCACTTTTCCTCCCTCTCTCCTCCCTCTCCCCTTCCTTCCCTCTCTCCCCCTCCCTCTCTCTCCCCTCTCTCCATCTTTCCCTCCCTCCCTCCTTCTGTCCCACTTTTTGTCCTTTCCTCTCTCTCTCTCCCTCTCCCCTTTTCCTCTCTCCTTCTCTCCCCTCTTCCTCTTTCTCTCTCTCCTTCCCTCTGCTTTCCCCTCCCCCCCCCCTTCTCCCTCTCTCTCCCCCTTTCCCCCTTTCCCTCTCTCACTTTGTCTCCCCCTCGTTCCCTCTTCTCCTTCTCCTTCCTTCCTTCCCTCCCTCTCTTTTAATTTCAGAAGACAGAACGGCTCCTCTTTTTCAAGATGAAGATTATCAGCAAAGCTTGCTAACAGGATTGGTAGGTGCAGTCTTGATTTGACAACAGAAAATCTTTAATGCCGTCAGGATAACCAGAAAATATAGATATTATTCTTTAATAGAGCAACAAAGATGATTAGGGGACTGGAGGCTAGAATTTATGAAGAATGGTTGCAGAAATTGGGTATATCTAGTTTAATGAAAAGAAGGACTATATGATAGCAGTGTTCCAGTATTTGAGGGGCTGCCCCAAAGAAGAGGGAGTCAAGCTATTCTCCAAAGCACCTGAAGGCAGGGCAAGAAACAATAGATGGAGACTAATCAAGGAGAGAAGCAACCTGGAACTAAGGAGGAATTTCCTAACAGTTGGTTCAATTAGATAGAAGATAGATAGAATTCTTTTATTGGCCAAGTGTGATTGGACACACAAGGAATTTGTCTTGGTGCAAATGCTCTCAGTGTACATAAAAGAAAAGATGCATTCGTCAAGAGTCAAGAATCATAAGGTGCAACACTTAATAATAGTCATAGGGTGCAATATTTTCATGAATGATCAGTGTATTTATCAATAAAAGGTATTTCTGTTTATTGATGGTTCGAAGTTACAACAGCAAAGAAAAAAGTGACTGACAATTGTTTTTCACCATTATGAAAAAAGTGTCTTTAGAATAGAATAGAATAGAATAGAATAGAATAGAATAGAATAGAATTCTTTATTGGCCAAGTGTGATTGGACACACAAAGAATTTGTCTTGGTGCAAATGCTCTCAGTGTACATAAAAGAAAAGATACATTCGTCAAGAGTCAAGAATCATTAGGTCCAACACTTAATAATAGCCATAGGGTAGAATTAACCAGTTGAATGGCTTTCCTTCAGAAATTGTGGGTGCTCCATCACTGGAAGTTTTTAAAGAAGAGATTGGACACTCATTTATCTGAAATGGCATAGAGTCTCCAGCTTGAACGGGGTCAGACTAGAAGACCTTTAAGGCCCCTTCCAACCCTATTCTGTGATTCCTTGACCGGCTGCTGTTTCCCTTCGTTGGGCAAAACAGCTACACAGAAACATTCACAAACTTTTCAAGCGTCTACCTACTTAGCCAACTTAAAATGATGAAGTTTTGCTCAGCAAGTTCAACCTTTGATGATTTCATGGACACATCCGTGTGAGTTATCTTGGCCACAGGATGGAAGTAGCTTGCATCACGTCCTGCCAAGATATATATTTTTTGGCTTTCTAGTTTAACAGATCGAGAATTCTCGGTGTCTCCGTTCCAAGTATTAACTGGAACCAACTGCCTTTCGTCTTTTCAAGATCAGTGAAAGTTGGCTAGTTCTTGCCATTTAACATTAGGGCAGTTTTAACCATCTCTGTACTGGATTGTGATATTTTGACAACGGATGGTTGAAAAAGAATCCACTGAATAGGAAAATAGGAGCTTTTTTTTAATCGTCAGCAAGCAGAAAGATTGAATTGTGAACACTGAATTGTTCCCTTACTAACTGAGACATCCTTAGCAATTGAAGTTCCACCCTTTTGTTCTCTGGAACAGATATCATGATTTAGGCACACTTTTCGTTGTGTGGAAAATTCCTTGATTGGCTTACAGTTTCCAACTTGCAAGATTACCTCTTGATAGCAGAAGTAATATGATTCTGTGGCTCTTTGCTTGCAGTCCTAAGATTATGCATGAGAATTATGTTTATTTGCTGCAATGTATTTAGAATAGAATAGAATAGAATAGAATAGAATAGAATAGAATAGAATAGAATAGAATAGAATAGAATAGAATAGAGTGGAGAGTGGAATGGAATGGAATGGAATGGAATAGATGGAATGGAATAGAACAGAACAGAACAATATATGGAATAGAATGGAATGTAATAGTTGGAAGGGATCTTGGAGGTCTTCTAGTCCAACCCCCTGCTTAGGCAAGAAACCCTACACCACTTCAGATAAATGATTAACCAACATCTTTTTAAAAACTTCCAGTGTTGGAGCATTCGCAACTTCTGGAGGCAAGTTGTTCCACTGATTAATTGTTCTGTCAGGAAATTTCTCCTTAATTCTAGGTTGCTTCTCTCCTTCTTTCCATCCATGGCTTCTTGTCCTTTGGAGAATAGCTGGACTCCCTCTTCTTTGTGGCAGCCCCTGAGATATAAGTCAGTACACTTTAATATTTTCATTTTAGTTCACATATTTTTATGAGGGGTGCTTGGTGTTCTCTGAGCTTGGTTGTTTTCTTGCAGACGTTTCATTACCATACTAGGTAGCAGCATCAGTGCTTGCAAGAAAACAGAGAGCACCAAAGACCCCTCATTTCAGCCCCAAGCTGCAAATATTCTCCTTTATTGGTACATATTTTTTTACAGATGGTGGCACAACTCAAAGAGCATCTCCTACGACCCCTGCAGTACGTTGGCAAAAAAAAGATTGATCAGATAGCTGTGGATTATGTTTCAAAATTGGTAGGTTTCTTTAAAAAAATAAAATAATTTTTTTTGGGGGGGGGGATCTTGTATCAAATTTGGGCAACTCTTTGGGAAGGGAGGTGTTGAGGAACCAAAGAGGGTGTAGCCAAGTCTCATAAGAAGCTGGGGCTTTGTTATATCGTCTTTCTCTTGAACAGTAATGTGCCTATATTTGGCTTATATTATAGTTTTCATCAATTTCCGTTCCTCAAAATGATAGGAAAATAGGCTGCCTGTTTGCTGCAAAAAAAAAAAAAGAGAGAGAGAGAGAGGCTGTGGTTGCAAATTGCTTACCTCTGTTTATCTCTCAAGAAGTATTTGTGTGTTTGGATTTTCACAGGAACTAAACAGAGTCGAAAGACAACTATTAATGATTTCCAGAGCAAACGCATTTGATGTTTCATTTCCTGAAAAGTCATCTGGTGTTTTTCTGCAAAGTCCTCTAGCTTTTCTTCTGGAAAGCCAATTAGATGTTTTCCGGAAAGCCATCTAGCAGTTTTCCAGAAAGCCATCTAGTGTTTTTCGGAAAGCCACCTAGCTTTTCCCCCAGAAAACCATCTAACATTTTTCTGGAAAACCATCTAGCATTTTTCTGGAAAACCATCTAGCATTTTTCTGGAAAACCATCTAGCATTTCTCAACAAATCCATCTAGCATTTTTCCAGAATGCCATCTACTTTTTTCTTTTCTTTTTTGGAAAGCCATGTAGTATTTTTTCCAGAAGGTCATCTAGATTTTTATTTTTTCTGGAATATCATCTAGTATAGCCTACTGTATTGAATAGTGTCGTGCCCAACTATGGAGTGGGGTGCCTAACTATTTTGTAACCATGGTTAAGGTCATGATGGGACAATTTTGAGTGGCTGGAGGAATCAAGAGACCAGTGAATAGAAGAAGGACAAAAAAGGGGACAGACTGCAATAAATGTGTATGTGCTTGTGTGTGTGTGTATGTGTTTATGTTTGTGTGTGGGTGTTGAACTGTTTTTTCTTCAGATTTTGGAATAGGGCGTTGTTTTTTTCCTTTAAAAATATGGGAGGTTTAGACTTAAAACAACTTTATTGTCACTTTAAATGTATACTAATCGGCATACATCAAAATTAAATTTCATTGCATACAGCTCTCAAAGGGTCACCATCTCCAATATACACTACATAAAGTAAAGGTTCCCCTCACACGTACGTGCTAGCAGTTTCTGGCTCTAGGGGGTGGTGCTCATCTCTGTTACAAAGCCGAAGAGCCAGCGCTGTCCAAAGACGTCTCCCTGGTCATGTGGCTGGCATGAGTAAACGCCGAAAGGCGCACGGAACGCTGTTCCCTTTCCACCAAAGGGGTCCCTATTTTTCTACTTGTATTTCTTTACATGATTTCAAACTGCTAGGTGGCAGAAGCTGGGACAAGTAACAGGAGCTCATTCCATTATGGGGCGCTAGTGATTCGAACCGCCGACCTTTCTGATCGACAAGCTCAGCACCTTAGCCACTGAGCATAAACGTGACTAAATAAATGAGTAAATACGAAGTTATTTTAGGTTTGTGAGACAGGTGAGCCATGTTTCCCATTTCAAACTAGCAGGAAATCAAGTTTAAGCAGCCGTGAATCAATTTGAAGGTTAGAAACTGCTCATACCACCTTCCATTTTGGTACCTGGTTCTAAATGCTGCTGGTTCGGTTCGTAGTTTAAAAACAGGACTGATTCAAGTAGGATTCGTTGTCCAGTAACTATGACTAGGATTCCAACTTCGACAACCTTTGCTAAACAATACCACTAGGTTGGCAGGCAATTTGTTGGTGTGGATTGAATATTCTTTTGAGAATCGGAGTCAGTGAAGCTGAGAGCCTTCCAATAAAGATCAAATACATTATTTTTTTCTCTCTCTTTGCAGCTGGACCTAATCTGTAGGATGATGGAGACTGTTAGGAGGAAATACAGTCTTAGCTCCTTGTCCTTCTCATGGTAAGCAGTTAATTTTCATTAAGATATTTAAGGATAAAAATGAGAGACAGAAATGGGAACGAATTAACAACGGCAAATTCATTACATCACACATTAATAGACTTCTGGATGAAGGAACTATAATCACGACTTTAAAAGTTTATTGTTATTACACATCAGATATTAGCAACCCATATCACCTGTCATGCCCCTGTCAGAGTCTAAATCCGAGGAGGAAACCGAACAGCTGACAGGGAGTTCGGCCTAGTGGTTAAGGCACCAGACTGGAAAGCAGGAGACCGTGAGTTCAAGTCCCTCTTTATAGCCATGAAAGTCAGCTGAGTGACTTTGGGTCAGTCTCTCTCTCTCTCTCAGCCCAAGTTCCTCCTGACAGGGTCGTTGTTGTTGTGGGGAAATTAGGAGGAAGAAGGTGTGCTGGATGTGTTATTTGTAAAAAATAATAAAGGCGAGATCAACAAAATTAAACAAATAGATAAATAGATAAATAGAGCTCTCCAAGGCTGCTTATAGCTTCAAGGTTCCCATGGTCATCTCTGCGGTAAGAACTGTTTTGCATTTTGGATGCTTGGCAACTGTGTTTTACGTAGTCACCACTGTTGAGATCCTAGAACAGCGATGGCTAACCTTTTCAGCTTGGTGTGTCGAAAATCGGGGAAAAAGTATAGCCTTCCTCGGGTCGTGTGTCACTTCAAGAAATATCAATAATTTGGTTTATGACGGACTGGGCTGGGCTGATCACACAGGGCTGTGAAACTTGTCTCCCTGGTCTCAGGGCTGCAGGTGCAGGATGTGGGGATCGGAAGGCCACCTTACAGGGCTGTGAACCTCATGGATCTCCTTTCCTCCTGTAGCGTTCCTGAGGTAATGAAACTGACAAGCCTCAGTTTATGGCGGTTAAAACTGGTTCTCTGCTGCAAAGATCTTGCGGCAGCGGTGACATCACGCCTCCACGCAACAAGCAGGGAGCAGGGATTGGAGCAGAGCACAGGCAGCCTCTAAATGTGCAGGTTTTCCCCACACCAACAGGCATGTCAATCAAAGTGCCTCGGCGTGTCACGAATGACACGCGTGTCATAGGTTAGCCATCACTGTCCTAGAAAGAGTGCAGAGAAGAGCAACTAAGATGATTAAGGGCCTGGAGACTAAAACATATAAAGAATTGTTTGTAGGGATTGAGTATGTCTAGTCTAGTGGGAAGCGGTGGCTCAGTGACTAAGATGCTGAGCTTGTCGATCAGAAGGGTTGGCAGTTTGACGGTTCGAATCCCTAGCGCCACGTAATGGAGTGAGCTCCTGTCACTTGTCCCAGCTTCTGCCAACGTAGCAGCTTGAAAGCACATAAAAAATGCAAGTAGCAAAATAGGGACCATTTTGGTGGGGAGGTAACAGTGTTCCATGCGCCTTCGGCATTTTGTCATGCCGGCCACATGACCACGGAGACGTCTTCAGGACAGCGCTGGCTCTTCGGCTTTGTAACGGAGATGAGCACCACCCCCAGTGCCAGAAATGACTAGCACGTGTGTGTGAGGGGAATTTTAGTGAAAAGAAGGACTAGGGGTGACATGACGGCAGTGTTCCAATATTTGAGGAGCTGCCCCAAAGAAGAGGGAGTCAAGCTATTTTCCAAAGCACCTGAAGGCAGGACAAGAAGCAATGGATGGAAACTAATCAAGGAGAGAAGCATGGAGAAATTTCCTGACAGTGAGAAGAATTAATCAGTGGAATACCTTGCCTCCAGAAGTTGTGAATGCTCTAACACTGGAGGTTTGAACATCTGGCTGACTGTGTGACTCACCGTATCTCTTGCTCTGCACTCATTTCCCTCCCTCCCTCCATAGAACAACTTCAAGGGGAGCATGATTTAGGAAGCAGGATGACTCATTGTAAGGGACTGGCTGACTATGTACCACTGCTGTGCAACATCTGCAGTTCACGTTCCTGTATTTTATTTTTTATTTTTGGTACAGCAGGCAACCAGAGAAAGCGAATGAGGTCATCGTGTTCCATATCATGTGCCGGATTTTGCAGGCAGCCAGTGGGATGTGTCTGCCTTTGCCTCCAGGTGAGTCCTCCAGCTGCCGCGTCACCAGCCTAGAATAGCCACACATAACCATATGCCACTCCAAAGTTATGTATATTTCTTTTATTACAGCTTCTTGGTGCTCTCTGAGCTTGGTTGCTTTTTTTGCAGACATTTCATGGCCCGTTCTTATCTTGTTTGGATAATGAAGCTCAGAGAGGCAAGCAAAAACCCTGCATTCCTCTTCCTCTTCCTCCTCCTCCTCCTCCTCCTCCATTTCACAGACCTACTCCCTTCTAGCACTGATGATGTTACCTGGTTGGGTAATGAAACATCTGCAAAAAAGCAACCAAATTCAGAGATGCCTCAATTCAACCCCGAGCTACAAATATTCTCCCTTTATTGGTATTTTTTTTAAATTATTTTTTTAAGTTGTAAAGTTGTAAAAAAAAGGGGGGGGAATTCACTTATTCTCCAAAACCCCCAGAAGGCAGGACAATAAGCAATGGGTGGAAGGTTGTGAAGAAGAGACCCCAACCGAGAACTAAGGAGAAATTTCCTGACCATGAGAACAATTAACCAATGGAACAGTTTGCCTCCGTAAGTTTTTGGTATTCTAACACTGGAGGTTTTTACAAAAGGGTTGGACAGACAGCCAGTTGATGGAGATGGTATGAGACTCCTGCCTTGAGGAGGGAATTGGAGCCCTGGGATTCTAATGATCCTGAGAGCCAGTGCTAACATGATAGCACCTAATCAAACCAAAGGAAATACAGGAATAGAAGCTGTAATTTTAACACATTTGGGGAGCATCATCTTTTGAGAATTTTGACTTGAGGTGTTGGTGATGGACTTGGGTTTCAACTCTGCTAAGCCGCAATATTCAGCCAGCAGTCCAGAGCCAATTGTTCGGCAGTTCAACAACCGTTTGTGGTTCAGTTTCTGCAAAATTTTGTAATAGTTGAACTCCGTGTCACTTTTCAGCAAAAATGTCCACTCGGGAGTGACATCTTTGGAAATAGCAGCTGTTTCTGAAACTTTGATCTAGAGTAGAGCCACCTAGAACATACCGTTTCCCCGAAAATATGATCTACCCTGTAAGTAAGCCCTAGCTTGATTTTTTCCACGTGCGTCCAATATAAGCCCTATCCCCAAAATAAGCCCTAATTAAGATCCCGCCCACTCCAGAGTGCTTGGGTAAAAATTAAGCTAATGGGTGTGGAGCTGCCCTACTACTTATCTTTGGACAGTTGTAGCCAGGCCTCGCACACCCCAACACCTGCCTTTGCCAGCCCATTTCTTCTTCAGCCAGCAAGGCTGGCAAGGCTTTCCTGAAGGCCTTGTAGCTGATAACAAAGCTCCGGATCGATCCAGAGCTCTGTTATTGGCTGCAGAGGCCTTCAGGAATGACTTGCCAGCCACAGAAGTTCCTGAAGGCCTTTGACAGCAAAAAGGAGGCCGGGGCGGCGCGCGCAAGTGAGGTGAGTCAGTGTATGACATCCCCCTGAAAATAAGACCTAGTGCCTTTTTTTGGTGGGAAAAAAATATAAGGCAGGGCCTTATTTGTGGGGAGAAACGGTAGACCATAGAACGATAGGGCTGGAAGCAACCTCAGAGGTCTTCTTCTCCAACTCCCTGCTCAAGGGAGGAGATCTTATACCATCCTGGTCAAATGGTTGTCTTGTCTATCTTTGAAAGCCTCCAGTGATGGAGCACCCACAACTTCTGGAGCCAAGCCGTTCCACTGATTAATTGTCCTCACGGTTAGGAAATTTCTCCTTAGCTCTAGGTTGGGTCTCTCTTTGACAAGCTTCCACCCATTACTTCTTGTCCTGCCCTCTGGTGTTTTGGAGAATTACTTCTAAGAATCATAAGAGAACAAGGACTTCTGAGAAGAAACTTACCAATGTCTTAATACCAAGATATTGCTACATCTCTTTCCAAAACAGCAAAAAGGTTATCATTGTCCCCAAAACATTTGACTTGGTTGTTGTTGTTTTTTTAAAAAAAAAGACGGGTCTCACCGGAAAACTTGGCTAATGGTTTTGTCCATTGTGAAACCATTGTGAGTTGTTGGGTAAGACGCTTGAGGCTGGCTTTTGTCAAGTCATGGGTTTTCATTTCCTAAGAATCCTGAGCTGTGTTTTTTTTTTGATAAGTTCAAGGACAGATGCAAATGTTAATGTCCCCTAGAGGATAGATTTTATGGAGGAACACGTTTTTGAAATGGAAATAATTACAGAGCCTTAGTTCACAATTGTTAAAGTGGGGTGTTTTTTTTTTACTGCTTTATTTTTTTTTTTTTGTATTGCTATGGGAGAAAGAATACTAGATAGAAGCGTAAAAGCTAAAACCTACTCCTGCTTTTAATTGGCAGGTACACATTCTGATCGTGGCTAATGGTTCTAAAATGCAGGTAAAATCGCAGGAAGTTGCATCCACTTTGAAATTACATTAGTCTTCCACATTTATCTCGTTTTCTTCTACCCGGTTTGGTCTAGTGGTTCAGGCAGCAGGCTAGAAAATGGGAGACCGTGAGTTCTAGTCCCACTTTAAGCCAAGAAATCCAGCTGGGTGACTTCGGGCCTGTCCCTCTCTCTTGGCCCAATCCACCTCACAATGTTGTTATTGGGGAAAATAGGAGTAGGAAGACATATTAGATATGTTCAGATATATATATATATATACACTGTATGTGTGTGTGTATGTGTTTCTATATGTGTGTGTATGTCTCTCTCTCTCTCTCTCTGTGTATATATATATATGTATGTATGTATGTATGTGTATATATGTGTATATGTGTGTATATGTGTGTATATAATATATTATGAACTATTCTAAAAATACGAGTTCCAGGTATACTTGTAAAAGCAGAAACAGACATCCTGCGATCTCCAGAACTAAAATTATATTTATTGTACTTACTAAGCTTTTGTCAGCATCTGCTGACATCATCAGAGTATTAAGCTACCATTACAGAGATCTCTGCCTTTATATATCATTAATCAATTTAGCCCTTGCTCGTGTAATAGGCCCTTCCAACCGCCTCCCACCTGTAATTAACTCTGTTGTTTTTGCTTCCATCATGTTGGTCAAAGGAGGCTTATCCCTTGTTGTTGTTTCCTCCCTTGTCAGACCCAGCCTGGAATGCTTATCTCTAGGAGGTGATGTTAACCTGCCAGCTATTGCAATTTGTTGCTTTGCTCGTGACCTTGTGGTTCTTCTCCAGGGAGTCCTTCCTTCTCATGAGGTGGCCAAAGTCTTTGAGTTTCATTTTCAGGATCTGGCCTTCTAAAGCAGTCAGGGTTGATCTCCTCTAGGACTGGCCGGTTTGGTGGCCTTGCAGTCCAAGGGACTCGCAGGAGTCTTCTCCAGCACTAGAGTTCAAAGGCCTCCATTCTTTGGCGCTCATCCTTCCTTGTGGTCCAACTTTCACAGCCATACATTGCACCTGGGAAAACCACAGCCGTGACTATACGCACTTTTGTTGGCAGACACACACACACAGAATCCATAATTGACACATGACTCTCTCCATGCCGTTTCTCGTGTGCTTCATTCTCATGTTTTCCCAGGGAAGCTGCCCTTCTCCTTATAGCTTCCTTAATATCTTCCTTAATACAGGATTCCACACTCTGCACCTGGAAGTGGGGATGAGGTGCTTCCCTTTGCACACGGTCCTGCAGTACATTGACCATGGAGTTCTGCATCTAACAGAAAAGTACGTCCTGAATCTTTGGAAAGGTAATGTTCCTTCTGCAGACTAGAGCAGCTGTCCTCAACCATGGTAACTTTAAAGCCTGTGGACTTCAACTCCCAGAATTCCCTGGGGCTGCTTGAAAAGGGCTGTGCTGAAATCCAATGTGATGACCCAGGGTGGTATACAAAATAAACACAGTCACAAAAAACAGGTGAAGCCCCTTTTATTCCTTCACTTTGCTTCCAAGCTCCAAATATCCTTGACTGTAGACAAAAAACTCCCACACAAACAGTTACAAGAAGGAAGAAATGCCATTTAAATTATAAAGAGTAAAAAAACAACACAAACCAGGCAAGATAAGGGCTGGAAGACATTCACAGATATCAGAACACACACTGGGAGGGACACTAAATTCAGAGAGGAACAATAAACTAGAGATATTTTCATGCTTTGTTTCCAGCACTTGCCCGTACGCATGTCCATCATCTTAACCGGTTGTCACAGCTGCAGCCCATGAAGAGGATCAAGGCCCTCTCCTCCTGAGTAGACTACATCTTTCCCTTATCCTCTCCTCCCTACATGCCCTAGGATGGAGAGGGGATGGGCCTGGGTCCTCACCTGACTGCCCAGCCGGCCTCTGCCCTTCCCCAGCCTCCTCCACAACCTTTGGAGCCACACTTCCACTCCCTGTCAGCTGTTCCTCCTCTCCCACAGAGTCAGTCTCCACCAGGGGCATGACATCCAAGCAGGATTGCCAGCCCCAGAGAGGATTTCAGGACTGACCTTTTTCAGCCCTAAAGTGCAGTAGAGAGGAGTAGAGTAGAATAGGAATAGAGAATAGAGTAGAGTAGAATAGAAATAGAAGTTGAGAATAGAATAGGAATAGAAATAGAATAGAGAATAGATCAGAATAGAAATAGAATAGAAATCTCCACTATAAACTACATAAACATGACAAAATAAATAACTAACTAAATACAAACTTACGTATATACGGTATGATGGCCATAACTTAAGTCAAGGGTCCCTTCATTTAGTGTTTTTGTAATTTGAGTGCTTGCTGAATGAATGGCTGTTAAGTCAAGGACTATTCGTACAGATTGTAGTCTGCGCCATGGTGGCGCGGTGGTTAGAATGCAGTATTGCAAGCAAACTCTGCCCACTGCCAGGAGTTCGATCCTGATCGGTTCAAAGTTGGCTCGGCTTTCCATCCTTCTGAGATTGGTAAAATGAGGACCCAGATTGTCGGGGCCAATAGACTGACATTTGCAAACAGTTCAGAGCGGTATATAAATGTGCTATGGGTATTGCTTACATAAATAGTGGCCACTACTACATGTAGGCTAAGCATGAGGATAAAATGTGCCTCTTAAGAATCTTACCGTTTAATAAGAAGGTCTCCATTCTGGGGAATTGAAGTCCAACAAGTCTGAGACCTCTTGTATTTAGTGATCCTTTTTAGAGAGAAAAAAAGCATCCGGAATAGGGAATCCCTGATAATGCAGCCTGTGGTTTTAAATTGATCAATGTACTAGGAATTTGCCGTGAGTCACAGCCACAAGGCTTACTCGGTGTTGCAAGCATCAATGAATAAGCAAAGCAGATGCACATTTGAACAAAAAAAAAAAAAGCATATTTCTTTTGTATTTCTATGCCTTTTGATACTTGCAATATTGCATGTTTGACACTTCTGGATCCTTATTTTTTTTTTTTTTTTGATACTTTCCTCTGAACTTTTTGATACTTGCAAGATAGCAATGGCACATAGACTTATATACCCTGGGTCCTTTGATCATATCTTTTGGTTTATTTTTAAGAATTGGACAACACTGAACAGAATGTGAAGCTGAAGTTAAGTATCCTGACCAGGCTTCCCCAGGTAACTTATTAACTAATTTCTGTATTTAGTCAACCCGTCTTGTATCTCTTTGCAAAAAATAAATATATTTTTGGTTGATTCCAGGTAAGGTCAGCCCAGACCTTCTATTCTCTTCTAAAATATTATCGAACTAGGAATGGAATAATGAACTTCTCATACATTTTTTCCAGTGGGTTGGGATCTGTACTGATAAAAAAGTTCTCCAAACCAAACAACCCAAAGTCTTGGTTGGCCTAGAAGAGATTTTGGTCTGAATGATCAATGTTCAACGTGTTTATTTTATCTTATGTCATTTTTTTATATTCACTAAATGGATGGTTGTAAGCTGAGAACTACTGGTATCAGTTTGTACTCTCTGTGGGTGCTTCGGAAGGCCATTCTGTTCATATAAGCCAGGGCTGTCAAACTTGACGGCCCACGGTGCCTCTGCCAGCAAAAATGGAGCTCGAGGAGGCCCCACGCTGCCTTCCAGAGCTCCGTTTTCGCTGGCAGAGGACTGCAGGAGGCCGTCGCTGCGAAAAACAGAGTCCAGGCGGGCTGCGGGCTGCCTTCCCGAGCTCCGTTTTCACTGGCAGAGGGCTGCAGGAGGCCATCGTGGCCAATAACGGAGCCTCGATGAGTGACATCGAGCTGGTCACCTCCCCCCCAGGCCCCCAAGGTCAAACATAACCCTGATGCAGCCTTCAATAAAATAGAGTTTGACTCCCCTGCTATAAGCCATAAACCACATTTTTCAGTGCCATTGTAACTTCAAACAGTCACTAAATCAGTGGTGGGATTCAAAAAAATTTACTACCGGTTCTGTGGGCATGGCTTGGTGGGCATGGCATGGCTTGGTGGGTGTGGCAGGGGAAGGATGCTGTAAAATCTCCATTCCCACCCAACTCCATGGGGAAGGATACTACATAAACCCCATTCCCTCCCCACCCACTAACCTGCTTTGCAGCTCTGTTCTCCTGTGCAGGGCAACCAAAGAAGACCCAGCCAATCAGCTGGGACTCAATGTGGGGGCAGAAAAGAGATGGAGGCAGGGGAGGTGATATTTGCCGGTTCTCTGAACGACTCAAAATTTCCACTACCGGTTCTCCAGAACTGGTCAGAACCTGCTGAGTACCATCTCTGCACTAAATGAATGCCTGCAAGCCAAGGACCACATGTAATGTAGTGTAATATACTACACCGACCATAATAGTATAACTTAATCTAACCACTCCTAATCACAGGGCCTTAATGGGAATGGCTGGGTTCAGCTTTTTAAATGGCTAGACTACAGTTCTTTCTATTTTTCCTTTGCCGAGCTCCATTGCACGCAGAGTTATTTTAGAAAAAAATGCCCCATTTGAGAGCAACGTGTTCATTAAAAAAAAAAAAAAACAGATTTGTAAGAGTTAAGAGAAGCTTGGTTTAAAATATTTCTGTTATCTTAGTTCAGCTGCTCTAAACTCAGGTGAGGACTTGAAAAGTTGAGCAATTTTTCAGATATAATTCCCCCCTCCCCCCTATCATGCATTTAAAGCCATTCACTGTTTTTCCTTCTATTAAAATGTAACAACCCTGTTTAAATAGATCTTGAGCAGTTTGTTGTTTTATTATTATTGTTGTTATTGTTATTGTTATTATCCCCTCAAATATGACTCCAATACCCCTAATGTTTACAGAGAATTTAGAGCTAGAAATGGTGCATTTCTGGATGAACCAATGCAGCTGAATGTATTTCTTTATTTAAAAAAAAAACCCACACATTTGAAAGTTTTTTTAAAAAGTCTTCACAAGAAGGATTTAATGTCTAGAAAGCTGAAAGGAAAGAAAAGATGATAATCAGGAATAAGAGGGATGGACTTGTCTATAGATAGTTCGCAATTTACAACCACAATTGAGCCTGAAATTTATGTTGCTAAGTGAAAAAAAAAAGGTTAAGTGAGTTTTTGCCTCATTTTAGGACTTTTCTTGCCAAGTTTGTTAAGTGAATCACCACAGTTGTTAAATTGGTAACCCGGTTGTTAGGTAAATTTGGCTTCCGTTGACTTTGATTGTCAGAAGGTTGCAAAATGGAACCACGTGACCTCGGGACACAGCGAGCGTCGTAAATATGAACCACATGTCACATATTGGAGTATAAATCAGGGGACCACGGGATTGCTGCATTGGCCATAAGTGTGGAAAACGGCCGTGCGTCATTTTTTCCCGTGACTTTTGTAACTTCAAACGGTCACTAAACAAGCTGCTGTAAGTCGACTATAAGTGGATATATGCTTGGAAAAGTTGAGATACTAAGCTAGGGGAGTGATTGCCATAGAGAAAGTCTATTTATGTGATTGCACAGGGGGTCATCCCTGATTGGATGGCCCTTAAACAATCCAATCTATAAATATTTTAGAGGAAGCATTGTGTTCCAGGAAACAAATTGGAAGTAAGTGCAGAAATACGTTTTTCTCATATGCTTGTCTCCTGAAACACTTTAAAGAGAAAATTATCTATATTTCTGTGGCTAGAAATCAATACAACTACCTCTTCAGTATCCCATTTCTGAATTGTCTGTAAGAAGCCTAAGTGAATCTCTTGGTCTAAAGGATTTTAAATCTAATTGTCTCTCCCTCTCTCTCTCTCTCTCCCTGTCCCCCTCTCCCTCCCTCTATTTCTCTCCCTCTCCATCTGTCTCTCCCTCTCTCTTTCTCTCCCTGTCTCTGTCTCTCTCTTTCTGTCCCTCTCTGTCTCTCCCTCTCCCTCTCTCTCTTTCTCTCCCTCTCCCTCTCTCTCTCTCTCTGTGTCTCTCCCTCTCTGTCTCTCCCTCCTTCCCTCCCTTTCTCCCTCTCTTTTTCTTTCTTTTAAATTTCTTCCGGTAAGGTTCCCTGTCTATTTGAACGAACAAGACAGCTCGAACTTTCTGACAGAAAGGCATTCTTTATTTGGTTGTATGAAAAATACAACAACAACACAAAGCCACTTCTGTTTTCTGTTTTGGAGAAGGGAGAAAGTCAACAAAATGACATTTTCTTCCAGAACAGCTGTGACATGTTGGAAATTATTTTTAGAGCCATAGGATCAGATCCCTTCAGTCGCAATTTCGTTTGGATTTTGAGCCAGGATTAATATTATTTCGACCTCTGTCTTTGGGGTTGATTAAGAAACGTTTGTGTCTCCTTGGCTCATCCGTGTCGTTTCAAGCAGGGCAAGTTTACGTCATGTTTTTATAGGTGGGCTGGAAGAAAATTAATCGTACTAACAGTGCAAGGATGCGAGAATCTGGCATACAGAGTTAGGAGGACAAATCCTTGTGTGTAAAGTGATACAACCCTGAAAATGCTCCTACCCTAGGACAGGTAGTTCTCAACTTACAGAAGGCCCATTTCTGGCCTTCTGGAACTTCTGGGAGGCCCGTTTTTCACCCTCCCCAGGCCTCGGCACAGGCCCTATACTTACCTGGGATCCAAAACGGGCCACGTGGGGGTTCCTGGGAGGGGAAGGGCAGGGCCAGCCAGGGGTGGGATTTGCCGGTTCACCAAACCAGCCATAAAAGTAGCTATGGGTTCGCCCAAACCGGGGTGAACCCGTAGCAGGCCCTACCCCTGTACCATCACATCAACACCTGTGAAAATGCTGTTCCCACAAGTACATGGTTTACGTATATCATGAACGAGTTATGGGGCTTCCACTCTTGAAGGAACAGATTCAATTTCTCTAAGCTGAAGTTCCTATTTGATATTTAAACATTCCCCCTGTCTCCCTTCTTATTTTGATCATGCAGGCAATTGGGTGCAAGGTTTGTCAGCTGTGGAACCATTCTTTGAGCACACATGTTATGGCAAAGAACTACGTTAAAGTCTTGTTTGAGAAACTCAGCAGTAAACAGGTAAAAAGCTTGAACAACTGTTAAGAATACGGGTTAGTTTGTCCCCAGCCCTTTTCTTTGAAAAAAATAAAATTGACCTCCAGTATCTGAAAAACAGAAAAATACTGCAGTGAGATTCCAATAAGTGTTCACACCTTAGCTTTTTTTGGAGTTGAAATCTCCAGCAGGTTCCGTATAGCAATAATACTTAGACTTATATACCGCTTTATAATGCTTTAAAGCCTTCTCTAAGTGGTTTACAGAGTCAGCCTCTTGCCCCCAACAATCTGGCTCCTCATTTTACCGACCTTGGAAGGATGGAAGGCTGAGTCAACCTGGAGCTGGTCAGGATCGAACTGCTGGCAGTGGCCAGGGTTTGCCTGCAATACTGCATTCTGACCACTGTGGCATGAGGAAGGAGAATAAGAAAAGAATAGGGGAGGGAGGGAGGGAGGGAGAGTTTGTCTACAATACGGTATTCTAATCACTGTGCCACCAGGAAGGAGAATGAGAAAGAAAATGGAAGGAAGGAAGGAAGGAAGGAAGGAAGGAAGGAAGGAAGGAAGGGCAATAGTACTTAAGACTTATATACTGCTTCACACTGCTTCACAGCCCTCTTTAAGTGGTTTACAGAGTCAGCCTATGGCCCCCAACAATCTGGGTCCTCATTTTTTACCCACCTCAGAAGGATGGAAGGCTGAGTCAACCTTGAGCCTGGTGGGATTTGAACTGCCAAATTGCAGGCAGCTGATAGTCAGCAGAAGTAGCCTGCAGTACAGCACTCTAACCACTGCGCCACCAAGGCTCTATTGCAGGGGTGTCAAACTCACGTCGTCATGGCGGTGTCACGTGATGTATTGGGACTTTTTTCCCATTTGCTAAACCATGTGGAGGCGGAGCCAGCACGTGATGCATCCGGCCCGCGGGCTGTGAGTTTGACACCCCTGCTCTGTTGCTTACAATAACAGAGTTGGAAGGGACCTGGGAGGTCTTCTAATCCAACCCCCAGCTCAAGCAGGAGACACATGGTTGTCCAACCTCTTTTTAAAAACCTTGCATGTTGGAGCACCCCCAACTTCTGGAGGCAAGTTGTCCCCCTGGTTAATTGTTCTGATTGTCAGGGAAATTCTCTTTATTTCTGGGTTGCTTCTCTCCTTGCTTCTTGTCCTATCTTCAGGTGCTTTGGAGAATAGCTTGACTTCCTTCTTCTTTGTGACAGTCCCTCAAATATGGGAACACTGCTGTCACATCACCCCTAGTCCTTCTTTCTTTTCATTAAAATAACTTTGCTTCTCATTCTTCAATCTAAAAGACTGAATTCCTCGAAACGTGGAGTTAAATGATAACCATTATTTGAATGCATTGTCTTTTGCAGTACAATATTCCATTTACGGACAGAATATCACCCCAAATTGAGTTTCTCCCTCTTAACTATTTGGTGACTATCATAGTAGAGATGGAACGTCAAGGTAAGTCTGTTTTCTTCTGTTTTATTGTAGCTTAATAGAATTTATCTTGGTTTAGATTGTAATTGTATTTAAAGTCATGTTGTACTGCATGTAGGTCAGGGATGTCAAACTCAAGGCCCACGGGCCGAATCTGGCCTGCAATGTCGGATTTGACCCGCGTGGCCCTCCTGGAAAATGTAAGGGACCAGCCCGTGCTGCTTTGGCCTGGTCTACCCATTGCAAAGAGGAAACATCAGGCCAGCACCGTTTCGGCCCGGTCTACCCACATCACTTTGGCCCATTCTACCCAGTGTTGGGATTCAAATTTTTTTACTACCGGTTCTGTGAGCATGGCTTGATAGGCATGGCAGGGGAAGGATACTGCAAAATCCCCATTCCCTCCCCATCCCAGTTGCCTGCTTTCCAGCTCCGTTCTCCTGTGCAGGGCAACCAAAGAAAACCCAAACGATCAGCTGGGATTCAATGGGAGGCAGAGATGACATGGGGGCGGGCCAGTCAGAGACAGTATTCCAAACTAAGTTTCTGCTACCAGTTCTCCGAACTACTCAAAATTTCCGCTACCGGTTCTCCAGAACTGGTCAGAACCTGCTGAATACCACCTCTGGGTCTACCCAATGCGAAGAGGAAACATCGGGCCACGCCCACCCAGCTGGCCATGCCCACCCGGCCAGCTATGCCCAGTGAGTGGCATCTAGCTGGCCACGCCCACCCAGTTGGCCACACCTGCCAGGGCCTCAAGGTCAACCACAGCCCTGATGTGGCCCTCAATAAAATTGAGTTTGACACCCCAGATATAGCTTAAAAAGGCCACACAATTGCAATCTGAAATTAGCAGCTTTAGTTTTTACTAATGACACCAGTGATCAACTCCATCCCATAATATTAATATTTCTCTGCATGGTCCTCTCCTAGGATGGGCAGCTTCTCTGGAAGAGACCAACATGAACGCAAGATTGGTTGAAGAGGTGGCACTGAAACACACTACAATGCTTTTAGGCCTTTAACTTATTTAATGACCACGATGAAATTACGAATCCAATAGCATCAGAATTTTGTTCTGCCTTTGAACGTATAGGCAATTGAATTCCAGAGAAGATACGGATACAAAGCTTGTAATATTATATCTGAAAGAGATATCACAACTTCTACTACTGGATGTGAAATTGTTCTGAATGCAAAATATTTTACATTCAGATGCTTTGGAACTTGAAACTGGATTGATTTTTTTTTTTTTTCATTTTCAAACCTCACCTGGAAACAGCCTGTCCCAAAGATGAAAAAAAAACCTCTTTTTTTTTTAATTAGAAAAAAGGGTATTTTGGAATTCAGAATAGAGGTCAAGCTTCAAATGTTTCGTGGCTCGTTATAATAGGTGCACTGAAATATTTGAAATCAATTTTTTATAACCCAATATTAAAATAAACGGGAGTTGTCTCACTGTAACATTACAAGAATAAACTGAATCTGAATTCAACGTAGTATTTATTGTTAGTAGGCCACTGAGGCCCCCAAAGCAATTGCATTTCTGAGCAATTACAAAGAGATGATTAAATAATTAAGAGTAAATGTTGCAATAAAATGTGCAATGCATTTAAATTCTTAACGATGAGACTGAATAATAGAATGGAGCAATGAGGAGCTGGCAGCTATTACATTACGGATATAGGAGATTCACACATGAACAGGGTGCTATTAAATATTGCAAATGAGAAACCAACCCTTTTCTGTAAATGGAAATAAATGTATAGATTTGGAAACTAGGCTTTGATGTCTTTATTTGTTGTATTGGTGTCAGAGATTTTGTGTGTGTTTTCTAATTTGTTTAAATACACCACAAGGAGAACAGGTTTCTTACAGAAAGCAACAAAAAGTCAAGATAGGATCCCAAACCATGCAAACGCTTAGCATTTAAGATCCACACACACCCTTTTTAACGTGCATTTAACTTAAATTGGGGCTGTCATCTTGGTTGTTTTGCTGCTCTTGCAATAGAGCTAACCTGCTACTTTAGCACGTTCATTTCAACATTCTGCTGTCTGGGTAGTCCTTGGCTTATGTCCAGAATCGAGCCCATAATTTCTGTTCTTACACGAGATATTTAAGTGAATTTTCCCTATTTTGCAACCTTTCTTGCCAGAATTGTTTAAAGTGAATCCGTGCAGTTCAGGGGGGTGGGATTCAAATTTGTTAACAATCGGTTCTGTGGGCGTGGCTTGGTGGGTGTGGCTAGGTGGGTGTGGCCATATGGTTGGGCATGGCTTTTTTTGCACACACAAACACACACCCATTTTTCCTTCCTGAGCCCCAGGGAAGCCTCCTGGGGGGTGTTTTTGCTCCCAGGAAGCTTCTCTGGGGCCCAGGCAGGAAGGCAAAAAAATGGAGCGGGGGGGGGGGGGGGAGGGGGGGAACTGTGCCCCCCCCCCATTTTTTGCCTTCTTGGGCCTCGGGAGCCGCCTGGGCGAAGCAGTAAGACAGCGAGGGCAATCCTGGCACAGCTGATCATAGGAACAGCTGATTGTCGGGAGGAAAAATAAAAAGAAATGCCTTAAGGACTGACTGGGTGGAGAGGAGAAGGGCAGGCGGAGAGGGGCGGGGCCAGCCAGGGGCACGATTTGCCGGTTCTCCAAACTGTGCAGAGTCATACCAACCGGTTCTATAGAACCGGTCTGAACTGGTAGAATCCCACCCCTCCTGCAGTTGTTAAATTCATAACACCGTTGTTAAGTGAATTAACCCTGTTAAAGGGGTAAAGGTAAACCATTTCCCCTGTCCACTTGTGTCTGAATCTACTGACTTATCTTCGTTTTTTTAGCCGAGGGAGCCAGCGTTGTCCGATGATGCTTCCATGGTCATGTGTCTGGCATAACTATATGCCAAAGGGCATGCAACACTGCTATCTTCCCACTAAAGTGGTACCTATTTATCTACTCACATTTCCATGCTTTCAAACTGCTAGGTGGGCAGTGTTCTGACCAAGGCTTCCTGAGACAGTAACAGTCACACGCTTAGTCCCCAAAACCCTCTTTTTATGTCAACGGCTGTGAATTATATGCATTCACAGCCTGTAATGGGTCCCAAACCGTTTGTGAATAGTCCCATGGAAGTTTACCACTGTGTTTTCGGGATAAGCTGATAAGCACCCACCTTTATCTCCCTTGAAATGCTGCCAACTACTAAATTGCCAATTAGCTGTACAAGGCCAAATGGAGCACAAAGTCAGCACATAGCTTGAGAGTTTAAACCGACCAGAATGAACAAAGTTGCTTCCTGCAAAGGCTCCTGTCCCTTTGCTCCTCCTTTATGTCTTATAGGAGGGGCCAATCACCTCCAAGCCTTACTCACGAGTCGCTCCTTTTGTCTTAATTGTTCTTGCCTTCTGGCAGCTCTGTGCACGCATGCACTAGGAACAGGCTCCCCCTGTTCCTCTACCTCACTGATGTCAGATTCTGGAGGCTCCAGAGTCAGCACATAACTCCCAGATGGCCCTGGCCCCATCTCTCTGTCGGACGCAGGACCCTTGTCTGAGTCCTCCCCAGACTCCAGGACTGGCCCATGTTCCTCCCCACTATCCAAGTCTGTTGCCAGCTCCGCAGGCCGCAGGCGGACCACAACAGGAGCAAGGAATAGGAGCTCACTCTGTCCTGCACGCTTGGGTCTCAAACCCAGGCTGTCAGCTCTCCAGCTCACCAGCTCAGCACCTTTAACCTTTTTGACTTCCAACATTCTTTTCTATGTCCCTTTTCTATTTAAAATTTAACATTTTTTCTAACCACTGCAGAGTAAAGTTTCCATCCTTAATACAAATATTAGGATTTATGAAGGGTTTAATGCACAGCCTCAACCTGCTTGAGATTTTTACTTATGCACTGAAAGAAGCTGCAAATTATCCCATGTTTATAAATGAATTTGGAAGTTGAAATCATAACACAGCTCAGATGACTTTATGATAGCTAAGGCTTCCAAATATTGCATTAAATTGTTTTCATTCCAAATGCAAAAAAGTAATGATGATGGTATTTGCCACACCCTAAGAAACTACAAGCATTGTCAGCTATTTTTTATCCCAACATTTATTTCATTACGTATTTCCAGAACTTTCAAGAAGGCAAAAACATTCCTTGAGCTACTAAGCCATACATTTTCATGCCCGCCCCTTATCATCCCGGGAACGTCTTTTAATAGAATGCAAAATAGACCGTTTCTCAGAAGTGAGAAGTTGTTCTCCTTCACCAGAACTTGAAGCCACTCAGATTTCTATCGGTTTCACAATTGGCTTCCTGATGTGCCTCATGTTGGCGCTGGGCTCACTCGGTTTGAACGGCGCCAGCGAGCCGTAAGGCCTCGGTAGCGGGAGAACGTTTTCGTCATCGGGAATGTAGGCGTTGGGACGCTGCTCCGCCGTAGTGTGGACGGCAGTTGGCAGGGCAGCCTGTTCTTCTTCCAGGGCCTGCTGGAAGAAGATTAGATCTCAGTTAAATTTCTTCAGAGCCACTGGCTGAGATGTATTGACCTGTTAGAGCAGGGGTGTCAAACTCGAGGCCCGCAGGCCAAATTTGGCCCATGGGGTGCTTAAATCTGGTCCGTGGGGCTGGCCTGCAAATAGCAATCGCCTCTGACAGCCAAAGTGGGGTACGGGCAGCCCCCATGTGGCCCAAATTTTAGCCTGGATGACCTGGAGCACTTTGCCAGACAAAACAGGGCACGGGGGGGAGGGCATGTATGGCCCCTGCGTGACCTGCTTTTGGCCTGGACAGCCCCCTGCAGCACTTTGGCGGCCAAAATAGACTTTGGGGGGGGTTGTGCCTCCGCACCCCATTTTGACCGGCAAAGTGCTGCAGGAGGCTGTTCAGGCCATCTTCCCCGTTTCCCCCCACAACCAGCCATGAAGGAGAACTACAATGCTGATCCAGCCCTTGAAGACACCCAGTTTGAGACCCCCATATTAGAGCAAAGGGCCCAAACACCTCTCCCCGGTCCGTGGTCCACTACTGGGCCACGGCATGCCAGCAACCGGGCTGTGCAAACAAGCGAAGCCCCATCTGTGGGGTGCAGGCAGTATGCGAAACTACGCCCCCTCTGATCCATGGAAAAACCTTTCTCCACGGAACCGGTCCCTGGTGCCCCAAAGGTTGGGGGGCCACTGTGCTAGAGGGGAGCCCCTCTATTTTCCCTGACTTCAGAACAGTTGTATAAGCCTGCTTGTTTGGCCGAAGGAGGGATGCTGTTTTCCTAATTTTTTTTCATTGCTCTTTCCTTGTTCAAATTTTCTATGGATATTCCTCGACTTACAGCAGTTCATTTAGCAACAGTTCAAAGATACATAAGGTACTGAAAAAAATGACAGTTTTTCACACTTAGCAACCCTTTGTAGCCTCCCCATGACCATGTGATCAAAATTCAGATGCTTGGCAACTGGTACATACTTATGACCGTTGCTGTGTTCCCTTTGCAATTTCCCCTTTGGCAACCTTTTTGGCAAGTAAAATCAATGGGGAAGCCAGATTCGCTTAACATTCTGTCTTCCTAGCTTAACAGCTGTAGTGATTCGCTTAAACAATTGTGGCAGGAAAGGTCACAAAATGGGGCAAAACTCGACAAATGCCTTGCTTAAACAACATAAATTTTGGGCTCAACTGTAGTCATGTCGAGGATTACATGTATTAGTATTAAGATGAATGTAGATTAGTTTCCCTGCTGTTTTGTTCTGTTCTTTTATATTTTCTATTCTATTATTTTCTATTCTATTTATTCTATTTTCTATTTTATTTAATTCTATTTATTCTATATTCTATTCTTCTATTTCATTCTATTTATTCTATATGCTATTCTATTCTATTCTATTCTATTCTCTCTCCTATTCTATTCTATTCTATTCTATTCTATTCTATTCCATATTTTCTATTCTATTCTATTCTATTCTATTCTATTCTATTCTATTCTA